TGGTTGGGCTGGTTTTTCCGGGAGGAGGTTCCCCGACGTTGACCTTTTTTGTCAAAGAACTACCGCCTGAGGGCGCAAATCATAACAAACCCATTTACATCTTCGTGGAATGTAGAGACAAGTGGGTGCCAGTGGTTCTTATCGACACGGGATCCGCCATTAATGTATGCTCGTCAAGGACGGCATATACGATTGGGTTGAAGCTCGCGGACTTCGTACCGACTACTCAAGTGATCAGAGCATACGATAATACTAGCAGGGAGGTGATGGGGACTGTCAAAATTCAGACCCAGGTTGGTCCAAGACAACACAACATTGAATTCCATGTCTTGGACGTTCCCGCAACCTTTAACCTACTTTTGGGGCGACCGTGGTTGCACTAGGTCAAGGCAGTCTCTTCCACTTTGCATCAGATGTTGAAGTACCCTCACGGGAAATGGGTAGCTATTGTTTTCGGGAATTCATCAATCCATCCACCGCCAGAAGTGTCTACACCAGTCTTGGAAATTGAACATGGCACGGAGGATTTGTTCTTATTAGGGTTTACTTTGGCTGAGGCCCGGGTTGTGCAGAATATCATGGCTGTTAATGAGGGAGTATATGTTAGTGCTCAATCTGTATACCTCATGAACAAGCTACAACACATCCCCGGGATGGGATTAGGAAGGAGTGGCTGGAAGGGCGTCGCAACATTGGCCGAAGTGCCACACAACCCTCATACCTTTGGCTTGGGATATCTACCCACCAAATAGGACTGGGTAAGGAAGGGAAAGGAAATGGCTGGAAGAGACAGAGTAAAGCAGGCCGGGAAGCCTTTTGAGCTGATGCATAGGCCCATTCAGGGTACCCTAAACGGACGCTTCGTCCGGGAGAGGGAGGACTTTCCATTTTGCGGCTTCCCAGAGCCGTGGCTGAACGCGGAGAGGAAGCGCGTGCTGGGGTTTGAGATTTTCTTTGACCTGCAGTTATCCGGGGATGACGTTGCCGAAGAGCAGACATACCCATCAGCTGAGGTTGAACAGAGTAAGAAAGTGCAGTCTGAGGACACCGAACTTGAAATGAGGGTACACTGGCGTGTCTACTTTCAGATCCTCCGATCGACCAGGAGTGCTTGGGGAATAACTTCTCGGTATACGTGATCGGAAATGGAATGGCTGCGGGCCCGCCAGCAACTATTTTGGATGCATCTATCGCACCCTCTCTCATTTGGCAGTATGAAGAGGGATTTTTGTCTAGCAGTACCGAGTCAGGTAGTGAGACGAAATCTGATTCTACCGAGTCTTGTGAGTCGGAATCAGGTTCCAGCTCGACTGAGTCTGAGTCTAGTAGTCCTGGGGATGATAACCCGGATGCCACAGTCTTGTCCAGGTCGTCTTTTTCTTTCTCTTTTGAGTCTGTTGTAACCGAGGAATCCAAGAATCAAGGGGCGCGGCAGTCAACTGGTTTGATTATGAGGAATCGGCAGAGGCCACTGGATGGCTGGATGATCAACCAGATGTGGTAGAAGAGGCCCAACCAGAACAGGGCCCAGCAGGGGCGAGAGTATCAATTGTGGCCGGAAGGGCTGGAAGTCAAAATACATTGCCGGAGAGCGCCGGTACGAAGAATTTCGCTCGA